AAGTCACCTTAGAAAGGCTCATTTACAACCTTGTTTTTGCACTATCTCCGTATGATTTCTGTCCACCTTTCCTTTGCCGTCCTCTGTGCTCACTACCTAGCTGATTTGGCAATGGCTTTTTTAACCCCATTGTCACAGATGTTTAGTTTAATAACGGTCTTCTCTAAGCTCAGATCTCACTCTCTGCTCCAAATTATTCCACGGCTGGCCATTGCTTCCCTGGTGTTTAGTAGCCTCCAGAATGGGCCAGCAACCTACCACTCCAGAAGTTACTAGCAATTTCCTACGCATCCTTTATACTCTAGTCTATATGAACTTTGGTTTTGCCATTTTCTGAATGTGCCTTGTTCCTTCTTTGTATTTGCAAGGCATATCACACACTGCATAGACTTCAGTAGTTGTCTAGAATAACGATGGCAACCTTCTAGATAACCTTTCTGAGGCTAGTCGCTAACATTTATTGACCAAATACTTTTTCCCATGGACTGTGTGAGATAATTTACATGCATCACCTCTAGATTTTCTAATAATATTAGATGACTATTATCTTTATTTTTCAGATGGGAAACCAGAGTCTCAAAAGTTATTAAATGATGTCCTCAAGGCAACACAGAAAGCATGTGACAGCTCATGTCTTAGTCATTTCACCCACATCATTTAGAAAAACACTAAATTGAATGAATTATGATGCTGGCACTTGCCCAGCACATGTAGCTAGGCAAATACAAGCATGAATGAACAATGGGGATTTTATACCTTAAATACAGCCCCTTCACTCTAAATAACTGCCACCAGGTGGCAGTAGTTTGCCACAGCCAAAAGGTCTTGCCTCAAGTTTGACAAAACCGAATAGGAGAGCAGGAAAGGACCTTGGGAATTATCTGATGCACTCTCCTTATTTAATGATAAGAAAATTGAGAATTTGTAAGGCTATTTAAATTATTCATATCGTTTAGTCAGTCAAAGAGAAAAACCTTAAATGGGTCTAAAACTCCCAAAGCTAGACCTTTTTTTTTCCTTTAGTATACCATCTGTGTATTTTTTCTTCAGGACTTATAATTTCCTTGTGTTTTCAATATTAAAAATATTTGTTAAAATAGCAAATGTGATCAAAATTAAACAAAAAAATTATTATAAAAATTTAAGCATTTTAAACCAAGTGATACAGCTTTCATGGTTAAAAATGTTAAAATACAGATAATGCAGAAAGGAAAAAATTCCCAGCATTTCCAATGCCAGAGATAATTATTTCGGTGTATATTCTCCCAGAGGATTATTTTTACCCATCTATAAAGCTCATTTTTAAAAATTAGACATAATTTTTATTTTAAATAGAAAAATTAGACAATTTTCTTTACCCATTTAAAAATTTAGATATAAATCAAATATAATTTAATAACCTGTTAATCTTAATGTTTCTCTACAATCTTACTTTCACAATTAGACATTTTCTTTAGGAGACCACCTGAGTCCTTTAAAATTCTCTCAACCTACCATGTTTACTTGCTGGTAAGGAGAGACCATTTTTAATATACTTTTTTTCTTCATAGACATCTTGAGAAGATTCTGTGAAAATTTCAGTTTCATTTATATTTTTTTCTTATTTTCTTTTCAGTAAAGAGAACAGCTATGTCAAGACACCATGTACCTAATCCATCTTCAAATGGAGATACGGCTTTCCAGCCGAAGGCATTTTATTTTCCCTTTTGAGAAGTTACTCCTCCCCACCTCTCTTCTTAGGGCGATGATACAGTATTAGAGGATATCTCTCAGTTGAAAGGATCAGATCAGATACATAAAATAGTATATTTTATACTAATGAGCATTTAAAAAATGGCCTTAAATGCCTGATTAAAGGTCAATCACATTGTATTTACTAGAATGATTGATTATATGCCTTTTAGTGCAGGTTTTGTCAAGCTTTATACGCAGGGATGCTGTATGAATCTATAAATATTACTACTACTATTAGTGAATTTTGGCCGATGTGATTTCTACCCTCTGTAGCTGCAGTTCTTGACAGTCTATCGCCATCACCTTATGGGAATGCAGCAGAGGTTGCGGGGGGGGGGGCTAAAGTACTAGGACGTGGCTTCCCCTGTAGACATGCACCAAGGAAAATAAAGTGGTGGAACATCAGAATGGTGTGTAGGAGTCACCCAGTTCTCTTCCTGACGTATGCAGAACCGTCAAGGATCAGGAAAGCTGCCTGGTTTCTGCAGATTCTAACTAAACTGTTAAAATTCAGTTCTTCTCCAGTCTTTTCTTCCCTGTGAGTGTCCTTTACTACTCACATAAAAGATTTCACTTCTGGTCACCAGATGTGTGGAGGCATTCCCCTACCCCAAGTAATTCTTTGTGACACCAGCAGGGTGTCTTACAACTTAATTTGATTCTGACACTGTGTTCCTGAAGATAGTGTCAGACCCCACAGGCTAAGGGCTCAATCCCACAAGAATAGCCCTTCATCTCCCCACTCCCATCCCCTACCCCCAATTCAAAGGCCAGTCTTAAGCCCTGGTGATCACCTGTGCTTCTGACCAACTGACTATAGATTAGAGGTTCCATAGACCCACCCTCCTTGGGTTTCACTAGTTTCCTAGATCAGCTCACACAACTCTGGGGAAACTTATGTTCGCTTTCCTTAAGGATATGATAAAGGACACATGAAAATTCAGACGGAAGAGAAATAGTGCAAGGTATATGGGAAGGGGAATGGAGCTTCCATGTCCTGTCTGGGCGCAACTTGGAAACTGAATCCTGAAGTTCTGGGATTTTATGGAAGCTTCATCACGTAGGCATGGTCCATAATTAGCTCCGTTTCCAGGCCTTTTCCCTTCCCAAGAGAATGGGGAGCGGGGTCTGAAAATTCTCAGCTTCTATCCGTGGTCTTTCTGGTGACTAGTCCTCACCCGGGAGCCACCGAGGAGCCCACCCGGTGGCCTGATTAGAACCATACACTTCTACCACCCAGGAAACGACAGGGTTCCAGGTGCTCTGTGTCAGGAACAGAGGTTAAAGACCAAAGTTAAGACAAGAGATGCCCCTTATCTCTTAGGAAATTACAAGGGTTTTAAAGAGCTACGTCAGGAACTGGGGCAGAGACCAATATATATTTTCTATTATCTCACAGATAACACCTGCAGTTTAAATCTACTGATCCTGGTTCCAATCCCTCAGGCCAGACAAGCCAAATTCCCTTTAAGTCTTTTGTGATCTAAGAACACCTCCCAAATCCCAGGGACCTTCTCCTGCTACCTGCCCTTCCCCCTCATTCCTCCCATTCATAGCACACACACTTCTCCAAACAGCCAGGTCTTTCAACCATCCCCTTGGATGTAGTTCTAAGTCTCTAACTTTCAAAGTAGCTGCAGATCTAAGCACCTTCCGAGTTTGGTGCACAGATGGAAAATTATTCCAGGTATGAACCAGATGAGGACTTTCGTTAACCATCTCTTCCATTCTATAGTCTCCCTACCACTTGAAAGACTGAAGTGTTGCAAAGAACATTTTAAGAGTGGTCATGTTAGCTAAAGTGTTAAGCAAATCAAACACCTCTGAGCCTATTTTTGTCATGTATAAAAAGTGTTTTACCTACTCTTCCACAGGTATGCCATGAGAAAGAAACAGGCAGTTTGTTAAAGCGCTTAATATAGTGGACTTTCAGTAGTGGTAACTAACACTAAGTATCTCTTGGTAGTCATACTATTTGTTCTTACTCAACCGTTACTATGTATGGTCGGGTTCAGAGAACAGAATCTACTCTGGCTAGTTTAGCAGAAAAGGATTTAAATACATTTTATTAAGCTGCAGAAATAATTTATACCATGACCCAGTACACACACACACACGCACACACAAAAATGTAATTCAAACAATGTTCACAATATTTACCCACCTGATGTGTGTTGTCCTGTTTTTCTATTCAATTTTTAAAAAATGCTAGTTATGACCCACTGTGTTCATTTCATGATTAATGGATCGTGACCGTGACCCACAGATGAAAACTACTACATCGCGGGGTATTAAATGACCCAGAGAATCACAGGAAGGGCAGAAGAAACAAACTCTAGCCTGCACTTCTAGGAACCGGGCAGCCAAGACAGCTGCCAGCTCCAGGAGCACCCTGCTGCTACATGACCCACCTTCACAAAAAGTGTGGTATGAGCCCCATGCTGGCGCACCTGCCAGCGCCCAAAGGACACCCTAAGCCCTGATGCAAAGGCGTCTGGGAAACACAGTGGAGGAAAGCACATTGAGACGGCTGCAGTAAATGCTAAACTACTGTATTTTGTCATCTATAACGCACACTTTTTTGCTCAAATTTTTAAGGGGAAAAAATGATGAGCATTATACACGGGTAGTACTAATTCCATTACTGGCACATAAAATTTTTTGTCCCATATGTTAAAAAATAAATGCTAAAATTCCTTTATAATACAAAAAACAAATATCTAAATATAAAAAATTGAATTAAAAAATTAAAATGAAAGATTTCTTTTCTGAAAGTTTGGGCCAAAAACGTGGGTGTACATTATACATGGCAAAATATGGGTAATCCTCCAAAAGAGCCCCACGCAGCGAAATGTTGCTTAAACATATTTAAACAAAAGTACATGGGTTGGACAAACCCAGTGGACTAAGCATACTTCATTATATCTATTGTATTTCACCCCGGTTAAGTTGCATATTTTTTGGATACAACCTATTATTGCTGCTTTAGTGAGGGGAACCAATCATAACTACAACTCCTACAATTTACTTCATGGAATGAAATTCACAGGAAATCAACTGAAAATTCCCAAGTTACATTTCCTTTCACAAACATCCTCAACCCAGTCTACATGGGGCCCACAGAAAGGAAGATTAAAAACAACAACAAAAACAACTAAAGTTCTCTTCTTCCCACCCTAAAAAAAAAAATCTTAAAAGTATTTAGATTATATATATAAAATTTTTAGATGAAAAGAATGAAAAGAACAAGGAATAACTTTAATTTTTTATTATTTTTTAGTTCAGTTTATGTAATAAACTATATCATTTTTAAAGCAAACTGAAAAATAAGTTGAAGAGGTAACATTTAGTAAATTAAGTAATATAGTCCCAGGCAGGAATCTGTAACTGATTCACGTTTGACTGAAAAAATAAACTGTGTTAGGTTACCATGCAGCTTTATACATGAAAAACAGAAAAACATACAAGAAGTACCCTTTCCTAGATCAGAAATGAACTTTCCTTGATCAGAAATGAACCAAGTATTTTTAGAAGCTAAAGCTATTAAGTTTACAGCACCAAAACACTAAACAAAAACTTCTCATTTTTAAGAAAAAAAGTACATTTTCTCATTTTCTGTTCTTGGCAGCAATTTTAATTCTTTCCAGTGGAACCAAAACCTCCTGAACCCCTTTCGGTGTCATCCAAACCCTGGAAGGGGAGAAAGCAGTATAAGCCATGTGGTTAATTTCTGACCCTCTTTCGGTTCTCCCCAGCTCCTCCTTGGTAAGACTTTCATTCTTGCTATTTTATCTTGTAAAAAGATCACCAAAAAAATAAAGAAATTTTCAAAAACTTCATAAAATTAAGTACTGAATAATTTGCAAAAAAGCTAAGGAAATAGAATTTCACTGTACATTTAAATGACTTATTATCCAAAGTAATGCTATATGATAGCTCTGGAAATTATTTCAAGAAATTCTAAAATTAGGATTTTAGTTTTTAAAAAATGGGACAAACAATAGATGCTACTATTTAGTTACCAATGGCACGTTAAATCCTAAAAATTTTAATTTTCCTCACTGAAGATGTTACATCACTCATTCCCTACTCAGTTTTTATGATACTTACTTGAACTTCCTCTATTTCTGGATAAAAAATCCGTTCACAGATGAGCTGTGCAATTCGGTCACCTTTTTTGACTTCAAAGAGGGAAAAAAAAAAACAAACCCAGAACAGTTTATTACTGATCTTTTATTAATGCATTTTCTATATCCTGCTCTGTATAGTGAGAATTACAATGTGTTACTCTGACATATATAACTCAAAACTCACTGCATTTATATGACTATGCATTTAACATACCTTCAAACTTTTCTTTGCCAAAATTAAACAGTACAACACCAATATTTCCTCTATAATCTTCATCTATGACACCAGCTGGAAAAAAGAAAAATAGCATTAGCTTGTTTTATGCTACCAAAAACACTGTGAGTTATAATTACCTCAAAATCATTCTTACATGGCTGAGATTTTTATACAACTGAATAAATGAATCGTGCTCTGGTACTATGCAAAGCCTCAAAGCTAAGAAATACTACTAATATGCAAGTAAGAATTTAGAAGGTAGCCCTGATTTTCCAACCTGTCACCCTTACAAATGGTGACTATTTCCTACTCTAAACTGGGAGCAGGCACTCAGCATCTCAGACAGGTTGCCCTGAATTGCTCTCTGCAAACCCACTGTCTCTCTTCTGCGCACCTGCCAAAACAGACTAGGAGAAAATTATGATTTGGGTTGTAAACGCTTTTCCTGGTAGCAGCTTCCACTAATACCCACATTGAAATATGATTGAGTCATAAATAAAAATGTCAAAAAGCCTGAAGCTCTGCAGTGAAGTTGATGCTGACACTGTTAAGCAACCATCTAGCAAATATCAGAACATTCAATTTTTATAACAAAAATGCAGCTGAACCTTTCAGTTGATAGCTTTTCACTCCTTTTAATTTGAGCCACCATCTTTTCTTAGAGAATGCTGAGAGAACATTAGCATAGGAGCTTAATAATGAGCACACTTTCACACAGAATCTCGTATAAACCGTACCTGTTTGAGATTATAAACACAAGGGCAAGAGCGAACCGGAAGCCAGGGCTCAGCTTTGGCCCAGAGAGGGACATTTACCAGGCTTGTTGGGCATGATCTTTGGGCTAAGAATTTAAAGTGTTCCCACAAATAATGTAAGTGCACCAGGTCTTCTCATTTCTTTTCTTTTCTTTTTTTTTAATATTGAGACATAAATCAAAATCCGATTTTTAGTATATTGAGTTATACGACCATCACCACAATCAATTTTAGAACATTTTTATTACCCCAAAAGAAGTCTCCTGCCTGCTAGTAGTCACTTGCCAACCACCAAGCCATCTTCCCTGCCAATTTCCTTTATAGATGTTAAATCTTTCCCCTTGGTTTGTAAAATGTTGAATAGAATTTGGGTGAACCTAATTAAATGTAGCTCCATGTAACATCTTATTAATACCTAACTCCTAAAATTAAAAAAACCTCTTATCAAAGGAAAAAAGTAAATAAAAGTAATGAGGAATTTAGCTCCATGGGTCCTACTGCTGGTTGGCAGGCCTCATTATTTGAAGGTCAACTGAAAAAAAGAAAAGTTTTAGAGTAAGAGTAAGCATTTTCTTTCAATTTTCTCATCTATGGAAAAAAGGTAATTTTTAAAAAAGTTCTACCATAGGAAAAATACTCAGAAGAATCAACATTCTAGATTTTCCCAGTGAATTATGGCAGAAGTTTAAATGAACCCCTGTGCCTTATGAATGAATTACTTAGGATAAGTGAAACTGAATTTTAAGTACTTCTTAAAACAGTTTTTCTACTTGTACAGCAATGAACAACTCAAAGAATAATGAAGCCTGATTTCTTTCCTCACTGCCAGTTGACCACTAAATTAGTCCTTAATATTTACTGAAAGAACTGATATAAAGATGGGACCAGCTCTTTCTTGTATTATCTATATGCAGAAAATTTTGGCTGCAGGAACAATGTAGATGAGATTTAATGAAGAAACCCCTCCACAGAACATATTATTCCATGCCAGAACAGATGACCACAGAAGGCCATAGAATCTCCATGCTGCGAGGTCTGAAGTACAGACTAGTACTCACTTATTTAGAATGTGTTAAAGACAATGTGACTGACTACTGAATTCTTTTGTTCCTATTTTATTAGAACATTTTTAGATTATGCAAATAGTACAAATACATATAAAGTAAAAGCTAATGATGTTCCTCTATTCTCCCTCAGGTAGCCAATATTACAGTAAAACATTTCATATATTACTTTTTTTCCCACTTAAAATACCAGACATCCTTTGAAATTAATATGTCTAAATCTTAGTCCTTTTTATATCCAAGATATGGAAATACAATACCATTATTTGTATGCATCTCTTACATTCAGGTTGCTTTCATATTTTTGCTATGATAAACAAAGGAGCCTTGTACATATATCCTTGTGTATTAGTACCTTTTATCCTTACCAAATAATTTCCAAAAAGCATTTTCCTGGGTCAAAGGCTATCTACATTTTAAATTTGAATGGACAATTTAAAAAAAGCTGGAATACTTCAAACTTCCATGAATGATATTTAAGAAGACTCATTTCCAAAGTCCTTGCAGTACCAGATGGTAGCAATCTTTTTCATTCCAGCCAATGTGATGAGTAGGAAATGGTACTTCTGGCATTATTTTGCATTTCCCTGTTCGCTCCCAGTGAGGCTGGACTCTCCTCCTCTGTACTATTGTTGCACGCTTGCATGTCGTCCTCTGTATTTTATGGTATTTTTTCTTATCTGTGTATTTAAATTTTTCATATGGCTTGCAAGTGTTTATTTTTTTTCATCTACGTTATCTTTTATCACACACACAAAAAAACACTCCCTTTTCGTAAAGGCCTTTCTTTGCTATCTATCAGTAAAGTTGTTTTATCAAACTCAAATGGCTGGGGTGTGTTGAATTCTGCAATGTCAGGTGACCTACCAAGATTTTAAACTTGGCACACTGACATGGGAAAAGCCTTCAACTAACGAAAAGAAACAACTAACAACTGAAACTTCAGTTGTTTGAAGTCAATTAAAATGTAGGGAAAAGAAAAAAAAAAGCCCTCAATTAAAAAAAAATTTTAGCATGAATGCCAACAACATAAAAAATATCCAATAGTTCCTAGTTCATTTACTACTCAAAGGCAATTTGACCTTCAAGAAAAACCCACCGAAGGGACATAAGTTACATCAGGGACACTTCTCTTTATGAGAAAGCAAAAAGTATTTTGAAGTTATCACTGGAAAATTCATGCATTGGAACTGGCAGAGTGATTAACTGACTTCAGGCAAACTTTTACTATGTCAAGACTTTGGCACGTCTTTTGTTGGAAACCTTCTTTAGTGAAAAACTATCCACACCTACCAGATGTGAATTCTGAACAGAATCCTGCATACTCAACTTTTTTCCCTTTGACCCTTATTTACAACTTGAGATTTCTAACAACATCTCTCCTCTGAACTAAAAACTGAGGCCAACTTTGATAAACTTGTGCTTAAGAGACATTTTTAAGATATCCTGCATCCAAGAACACCACAGTGTGATTTTGTAAATAATACCACACCAACCATCAGGCAAACTAACTTTCCATTTCTTTTACATTATTATTTTTTTTTAAATCAGAGGCTTCTTTTAAACAGAGCAAAAATTAGTAACGAAGTTTTCACATTAAAAAAATAATCTGTTAAGTGCCTATGGTACAGGAAATTTAAGTTGCAGGATCTAATAGCTGTAAAAGTGTTAAATGATTTACATACATTATTGTTTAATCCGCCAACCCTTCACAGGTGGTCACACAAATTTTCATCATTGTTATTCCAAAGCCCATGTTCCTTTACCAACCCTTTGAAATTTCTTTGAAAATACATAAAAATTTTTATCCTCACCCGAGGATATGCTTATTGATTTTAGAGAGAGGAAGGGAGGGAGGAAAACATCGATGTGACAGAGACACTGATTAGTTGCCTCTTGAAAGTGCCCGAACCAGGGATGGAACCTTCAACCTAGGAATTTGCCTTGACTGGGGATTGTACCTGCAGTCTTTTGGTCCACAATGCAATGTTCCAACTGAGCCACACTGGCCAGGGCTATATACAATTATTTTTATATCTTTATGCTATATGCTCAGTTACCATCCTTGACCTTGTAACGGTTATTTTTTGAAAATCAAGCATAATGAGCCCACAATTCTCAACCCTAGTGGGCTGTCCATTCCTGTTGTGTCAAGCTCAGCTTCTCTTCGGAACTACACTTCTGGGCTCCTGTCTTGCCCCACAGCACCACCTAGTGATACCATGGGGAACCTAAGGGGTAGGCAGGAGACACCACCCAGGGACAGGCCTCATCCCATTCTTAACTCATGCTGTGCATGTGACAATGAGCTAACTCAGGACAGAGCTTGGATGGTGGTAGATGTGCCAGGGCGATCCACAGCATTCGATTGTGGTGGGGAGAACAAGTGGATTGGAATCATACGAATGGAAATTCCAGTTTTTAACGTGTAGCTTGGGCTCATCTTTGAGCCAGTTTTCTCATGTTAAAAAGCAGCTTTGTAAAAATGGTGGGAGGCAGAGCATCTACCCACCACCCAGCACCCCTCCCCTGCCTCAACAGGTCTGTTGAGGATAGGTGTGCTTGGGGCCACACTATGGCAGAAATTCCTGTTTTGTAAGGTGGGCGTAGGCTTTTTTCTATTTCTGATTATTACTATTTTCACTTACAACGGAAAATTCAACTAAGTATTAAATATGGTTCTATGTTAAAGAACATAAATCAGTGGTTACCTAGGGTTGTTGGTTTGGGGAGAAAAAAGGGGTAAGAATTAACGGGTATGGGTTTTCTGAGAGATGAAGAACATGTTCTAGAATTAATGGTGGTCATGGTTGCAGTTCTGTGAAAACACTTAAAACCATTGAATTATACACCTTAACTGGGTGAATTGTACAAAATGTAAATTATATCTCAATAAAGCTATTGTGAGAAAATTAAATGGTACAAATAAAAAAGAAAACTGGAGGAAAAAATTTAAAGAAAGAAGAGTCAGGACATGAGAACTCTGTCAGCTGGCTCTGCACCCCAGTAATGAAGAGATCTGAAGCAAAGGATGCAAATCAGGAAGGGGATAATTTCCGTACAGTTAGGGACAGTCAGAAATCTTACAAGGGTGGCTAGCAGAGACAAGGGCTCCCTCATAAAGGACCTGGTGAGGAGGCCGTTGACTTTGGGCGATATGAATAAGGCTTTGTTATAAGGGCAACAGGAACCACGGAGGACTTGCTCAGCAAGAAATGTAGATAGGAAAGCAGTGTCTTCTCTCCTGACTTGAGGAAAAGATTCTCTTTTTAGATTTTGCCAAACACAGATACCTCTCTTTTAAGGAGGTAAAAAATTTCTTACTACGAGATGGAACTGCATTTTCTAGAAACTCCTGCTTAATTATTATATGTATACTTAGGAATTATTTAAGCAAAACATAATTGCTTAAATGACATAAAAACTTTTCTTTCTCTTATATAACAAACCTCTTCTTTGAATGGAGTCATTTTTGGACTTAATGCAGATTATCACTAAACCAAGGCAAAAATCCTGTCAGATAGTGTTTAGTTAGCCTATTAGTAAAACAACATGCATTTCATATAACGGTCATTCAAAAATTAGATATAATCAAATAGCAATCGAAATATCATAATTGTCCATTATTCAGATAGAAATTTCTGAAAGGCATGAAAACAACAAAAACCATATCCTTGTCTTGAAGATCAAAATGAAATCTGTCATTTGATTACTTCCTTTTAAGCAAAGTAAATACTTAGAAATATTTACAGAATAAAAATGTAAACATAATACCTCCTACGTCTATGAAGTATTTTGCAGCCAAGCCAGAACGTGGAGCTAAAAAACAAAAAAACAGAAATTGGCTATGTTAGGGTAGAAGGACAATTACTAGATATAATTGACTTTTATGTCCTATCAGTGATATCTTCATTTTAACTTCAGCAGATAGTTCTAAATTAAAGAATATATTTATTACACTGTATTACCCAAGTAGAATAGTTCAGAAAAATCCGACAAGGTTTGATTCGAAGCCAACTTAAGCCAGTCCCACACAACTTCAGTGAATTGAAGACCCATGGTGGTGCAGCCATGGATTGCTGGGATGAACTGAAGGTGAGCAAGTGGGGACAACCCTAGGCAACTGTGAAGCGGGACCACAGTGGGAGGACTGTAGCTGGCAGGGGCACAGAACAGAGGAAAGGGAATTTATTTTTAAAGAGAGAGGGCAAGGGAGGGAGAAATTGAAACACCAGTGTGACAGAAATATCCATCAGTTGCTTCTTAAACGCAGCCCAAATTATACCAATTCCCACAACCCAGGCATGTGCCCTGACTGGGAATTGAACAGGCGACCTTTAGCTTTGGGGGATAACGCCCAACCAACTGAGCCACACTGGTCAGGGCTGGGACTTTTAAGATGGGAATTCTGATCATGTTGCAATACACTGTAGTTGGGAAGAAGTATAGCAGAGTTTAGTCTAGAACCTGGGACTCTTCCTTATGATATAGATGCCAAAAGATGTGTCTATATAAAACAAATGAACCAGAGTAAAAGGCTTAGTAACAGCTGAGCAAAAGGCTTAAAAAGTCAACTTACTATGCCTTTTATTCTTAAAATGAAAAAATAAAAAGCTAAATTTATAGCTTATATTTGCTGACTTGAGCATCAGGCCTACCATTAATTATCCTAACTTCCAAACTTTATTCCAGAATAACTAAAATCAGGACTCTTTGTTAATACATGCTGCCCCTTCCTGTCTTTACTTTTATTTCGTTCCATCTCCTGATCCCCACCACCCCCCCAAATACACTGAAAATGTGGTCAATGCTGCCAAAAACAGATAAACAGAGCTAATCTTATTTTTTTCTTAAAGGCTGAAGTATTAGCAGTTTTCACACATATGGCCAAGAGGAATACAGTTATCTAGCTACCACCTGCCACCCCAGCCCTGGGGGGAGAGTCACGGGTCCATTTGCTAGTTTATGCTGACTCTCAAATTAGTCGGAAAGTAATTATGCTCTTGAAAGGTCTTAAGACTCTTTCCGGTGACAACTGAATGACCAGAAAAGTCAAACCTCTGAACTTGCACTCCATTTTGTCCCAGCTCTTCCCTCTATGAGGGAAGGTGAAGTGGCCTGATACGCTCTGGGACCAACAGGGGTTGGGAGTCTTACTCTCACGATATGAAATGCTATGTGCCATTATCCTAAGCCTGTCTCTATTTTCTTACATAATTAACATTAGCCATTCTCATCACCATCTTCACGAAGAGATCTTGACTTCATATGCAATCTGATTTTTGAAGGGGGAGTTGGTGGTAACACTGGAAAAAGTGCCAGCTAAAAATCACCTATATTTTCAGTGATTTCGTTGTGAGAACCTCTTGGGCCAATGTGAGCCTTCTAAAGGTTTCAATAAAGAATCAAAAAAATAGCAGAGAGAGAGGCAAAAGCAGATACAGGCATACCTTGTTTTATTGTGTTTTGCCGATATTGCATTTTTTACAAATCAAAGGTAAAGATCATCCACCAGCAAGACAATTACAACTCACTGAAGGCTTAGATGATTAGCTTTTTAATTTTGTTTTTTTTTTAGCAATAAAGCATTTTTTAAAATAAGGTATGTACTTTTTTTTAGACATAATGCTGCAGCACTTTCAATAGACTACAATATAGTGTGAACATTAACTTCTATATGAACTGGAAAGCAAAAAAAAAAAAAAAAAAAGCAAGTGATTTGCTTTACTGAGATTTTTGCTTTGCCATATTGGTTTAAAATGGAACCTGCAACTCTGAAGTGTGCCTGTATGTAAATGAAAGTTTTCAAATGGCTCAGTTGCCATCGCTGTTGGTAAGGAAGTATTTATTTTAGGACACAGGCCAAGCAATATCCCACCCCTCTTTTATACCCCAGATAAAACTAAGATGAAGGAACATTATCACAAAGAGCAGGACGAATCTTAAGTCGCTTACCTACTCTTCCATAGCAGCCAGCAGGCAGAGCAATCTGAATGTCAGTTTTCACAAGGGCTTTCTCCATAGGTGGCACCGTGTAATCATAGGCACTAGGAAGATATTGGAAGAAAATAACTGATATTTAGATAGAGTAATTCTTTATGAATTTTTCTGGTGAAAGAGGTGACAAGATGTAAACGTATTCTCCCCTGAACAAAATTTGGTTGGGAAATTGAGATAATTATTTAGCAGGAGGGGGCAGAAAAGGCACTTTTACAAAGGTGTATGCTTCACTGACACTGTATGAAAAGAGAGAAGAAAGAAGGGTAAATAACAGCTAACATTTATTAACTTCTTAACAAGCCCCAGGCACAGTTCTAACTGCTTTTTTATAATAACTCATATTCTTACAGCAGTCGTCTAAGGGATTATAAAAACCATGTAGAAGGGGAGAATGGGTGAGCCATGTAACTGGGTAGAGCTGGGTTGCATCTGTTCTGCTGGTCTTGGTAGTGTAGCAAGCACACCCAACTGGGGCCACTGGCTGAGGGTGAGAGCTGACCACTGTGAACAGCCTTGGAGACGGACACTGCGAAGGAACTGATTCTCTAAGGTCCACCCAGCAAACGCTGCCACTGCTGTTATTACTGCAGCCCCACCTGCCCCCGACCGTGCAGAAATTTAAAAAGCATAACTGTAAGTTACTTTGAAGACCTTTGTTAAACTAGTAAAGCAGTAGTGTATTTTTACTTCACTCAATGAAATTTGCTCTGAAATAGTTAAACACTAATTTATTAAAGAAGTTATTTCCACGTCTGCTTCAGTGTATGAAGATGCTCAAAGCACCTTAAAATCAGTCTCTTCTAAGCCTCAGAACAGGGCCCAGACATGGTATAGCCAAACTACTTATTGTCAAACTATTTTTATTCATGAAAATTAAGGAGCTGAACTACATCCCATTCGGCTACAAATCTTACACCTCTTTTTTTCTTTCTTTTCTCCCTATCATCACACACTTCTTTCTCCTCTTCTCCTGTACTTACTTATTATGACTTAGATGAGTAGTCTGCACATTAGAATTATCTGGAATGTTGCCCCGGCTGGTGCGGCTCAGTGGATTGTGCACCAGCCTGCGAACCAAAGGGTCGCGGGTTGGGTTCCCAGTCAGGGCACATGCTGCGGACCAGGTCCCCAGTAGGGGGAGCGTAAGAGACAACCACCACTCACTAAAGTTTCTTTCTCCCTCCTTTCCCTTCTAAAAATAAATTTAAAAAAACTATTTAAAAAAATTATCTGGAATGCTTTAAAATACAGTGTATCCCAAGGCTCAGGATTTAGTCATGTAATAAGCATTCCTTACCTCTCATATCACTTTTCATTTATCTTAATGGTTCTAAGAAGCCGGCACAGGGTCCAGGGGGAAGAAAAGCACTGAATTCATGGTCAAAACTTCTATTACATTCAAGCCTTTATCAGTTTAAGGCTATCAGATCAGTTCTTTATGAATCCCCTCATGTGCAAAAAGTAACATTCATGAATTCAGATTGTTGTGAGGACTTTTAAAAATAACACATGGAAAAGCTTTTAGTATATGTAAAAAGTGCACAAATGAAAAGGAAGTATTATTATCCACATCCCTGCTTTTCATATTCAAACCCATTCTGCAATTTCCTGTTCTGGGGCCAAGTTAAACGTGGGCGGGTGGAAAAATTTTATTAACCCTTTAGGACAAAAGCAGCCTTCATTAATCCTGCCTTGGCATTTTCATACTAAGCACGTGGGCTCCCACCCTGGCTTCTCTTTCTCTTGGGCAAAGCATCATGCTCAGACCTTGAAAGCCAAGGTAGGCCTTATTCATTTCTATCTTCCACTTGGAGAGTGTGCAATAAATATTGCAAAATAACGCCTCAGAGGATATTTACGTATATTTACTTTTCCAAAATGTTTGCCCGAATCCCAACCGAATTTATGCTAGAGAGGAAAGCTAAAACTGTCAGCACAGAAATGTCGGAAACCGCACATATATGCAAAAAAATTGTTTCTGTAATCTTTTAAGTCAATGTTTCAAGCTGTGGCATGGCAGCAGAGGGTCTGAATGCAATCTAACATGAAAGTTCTAAAATTCGCGATTTAGCCTTCTCTGCGTGGAAGCAGGGATGGCAGGGACAGAAGGCGGCCCTCTTAGGCTCTCTGCCCGGACTGGCCTCCCTCAGGGGCGCGGGTGGCCAGCGGTCATGACCCACCTGTACAGATCATAGCCGGCGGCCCGCGAAGACCCCTTGGTCGGGGCGGTGGCATGCTCCGAGAGCCTCACGAAGCGGAGCCGCGCGCCGCCCTCCTCCGCAGGCCGGGGCCGCTTGCTGGGGGAGATGGTGCTAATCTCTTCAGAGCAAGGCATGGCAGAGCAGAGCAGAGCGCGGACACCAATCCGAACAAAGAAAGAGGAACGCGGGAATAAGCCCAGCCGCGGCTTAAGCGCCCAATTTTAAATTTCTCTCCAGCAACGCCCCGTCCCGCCCCGTCCCCGCCCCTACCCCTGCCCCAGCCATCCCACCTGGACGAGCTCACAGTTTGGCTGACAGGGAAGCGGGGATTCACCTTTGGGGCCAGAAACTATTCTCCGAAAGCAGATTTGGGATCGGAAACTACTGAGCCTTTTTAAGCTTTCTAAATTTAGCGCAGGGGTCTAAGTCAGCCGCAACTTCAGTGGCCTCCCCGACACGCAATAAAAAACCATCCCACACCAAGGGGGGGGGGTGACCTAAATGGATTCGCTCTCGCGACAAAAGGGCTGCACGCGCTTCCTTAGCCCAGCCAACCAAAGCCGGAGGGCTTCCGGGGACTTAGCTCGTCTGCCAGCGTCTTCCCAGACCTCTAGGCGGGTTCCGGGACAGCTGGCCGCGCTCCCAGACTCCCCACCCCTTGCGAAGCCTGGGCCCCGACATTACTAGGGCTGCGACCTCCTCGTCTGGCCAGTTGCGGGAACACCCGCGGTTGCACGGCCCCAGGTGGGCCGGGGCCAGGGGACCGGCCTGATCCGCGGAGTCCCGCCGTCTCGGCTATTGGCCGTGCGCTGCGCGCGTCTTTACACTCTGAGCGGAGCAAAGACGATAGGAAATGGTGGCCGAACACGTGGCGAGGGCGGAGGGGAGTCATTTGCCCTGAGCTTCGGGCGCTGGTTGGCTTTTACGCTCCTGCAGGCGCCTGCCGAGTCCGCACCACACTGACCTCGGAAGCAGTAACGGCCACTGCCTGACGAGAGGCGTAGGGAGGCGGTGCAGAGGCAGCTCTCGGGCTGGCGTAGGCGTTAGGCCTCCGGGGACGTGACACGCTAAGCCCGAATCCGGCTACCGCCTCTGCCTTTTTCCTTCTGTTTTCTCTCGTTTTTCGGGCCCCCGTTTCCCGAGACTGTCCGCGAGACCCATTGCCTGCCTGGCTGTTGATTTACCTGGGTCAGCGCCGACAGCGGCCATGACGCCCCAGGTAGTAATCGCCGCGGCCGCACAAAGCAATGGTGTCGCATCACATTTCCCCCACCAGCCTGCGGCGCTCAGTGCTGCGCCCTCGGCTGTGCGGAAGGTGGCGTTCTCCTTAGCCTTACTACATCCAAAGTGCTGGTGTGCTGTTACTCTTAAAGCAGGGCGGGGGCCGGGTCTTACGGATAACCTCGACGACAAACCAGTTGAAATCCTAGCACTGTTTCAGGTAATCAGTCACACAGCATCTTAGAGCCCCCGCCCCCGGTAGCTATGATTCAAACAAAGGTCCTGGGCCACCCTGGTATAACTTAGAGTGGGGATGAGCAAATCACTTTCTGTATAATAGTAAATTCATTTTTCTAGCATACAAATACCTCCATTCATCTGCGGAACTGACGCAGAAATATGAGCACCACATTGTAATGCACGTAGTCAAAGTAATTACAAACTATGGGTGGGGGGGGCAATTCTAGAAAAATGACAAAAATGTTAGGACGTTGTTGGGGAAGTTTTCATACTTCCTTGCTGTTTCTTTGCTTACAGGCCCCACATTTTCTGTCTCTTTTACAGGCCCTTCCTCCTAAATGTTGGAATTCCTCTTCCCATGGCTTTAAATATTACCTATGCCCTGAGGACTCCTCAATACCTATGACAACATGATCTGGGTCCTGCTACTTCTCCAATGTCGTCTAGGGCCAGCATCCCGCTCACCTCTGGTGGTGTTCTGTTCACGGTGGTTTTTGAACAGTTTGTAGACCCTCCACACTTTCCTGCTTGGGAATCTATATGCATTCACCATTGTATTCCTGAGGCCTAGCTTTGTGCCTGGCTCTGAATGGTGTTGATAAATATTTGCTATATGAACGAATGGTAGAGATCTCATTGCCCCTTCCACTGGGCCCCTGTGTATGATCACTTCTCATAAAGTCTTTTTATTTTTCTGTTCATTTTAAATTTTTAGTCAAAGGATTTTTTTCCCCCCGAATAATCCTTTTATAAGGCTGCAGTGACAAATAGCCATCCCTGCCCTTCCCCTTTCACAAATACCCTCCCCCAGTCTTAACTCCTCAGGGGCAATACTTCCAATTATCTGGCGCTCTTTCTACTGGAATTTACCTCCCCATTTCTAAATTAAATGTTTTATTTTTTTTTTAATGGCACAGAAATTATCTTCTGACTTAGGGCAGTTGAGATTCCATCTATTACCCGCCTCTCCACCCCATTCTTCCAATAGTTTTGAAATAATTTTTGCATAAGCAGTTAGTATTTACCTTATCATGACTATGAAAGTATTCACTGCTGAGACAAGCAATGTGGTGTGATTATTTCTTTCACCTGTTTCCCCTCAGGTTACTAATTGCCTTGTTTTTTCTATTTGTCTGTTGGCGGTGGTGTTTTTAATTCATTTATTGCTTGTTTTTTCCAAATGCTCCAGTGGATCCAGTACCTTAAACATTTATCATGGCAAATGAAACACTGAAACTCATCAAATCCTCTTATCAGTTCCATTTTCCCTTCCCTTAATCTCCTCTGTTTTCTTGTTTCAATGTGTGCAAGTGACCCTCTAGTCCTGCTAAATAGCTGTCACCCTGAGACTTCCCTGAGACTTGCCTCTCTTGTATTGGAGCCCATGTTTATGAACCTAGTATCTTCCTCTTAGTTTAGTCCCCCATTTTGCTTTTCTCTAGTATTTTTCCTAAGGAAGTTCACAGGAGAGAGAAATCATTTGAGTCTTTGCATATCTTATAATGACTGAGATAAAACTCTCACTTCATTCATGAAACATCCTTACAACCAGTAGTGAACTGCATTATCTTATCTCATAACACTGTATCATTCATTAGCCATATACTATCATGTAATTGTGTAATCATCTCATGTATATGAATTTTATCTTTCACATTAATTAGAGCTATATGATAAAGGCAGGCATAGTTTATAGAGCAAAGAACCCACACCCTCTCAAAAACAAAAGTTATCTGCCCGTGTTCTGGCAACATAAGCAGAAGGTGTGAGTGACAGCCATCTTTTTTGTGGAACAGTGCCGCTAGTACATCCCTCACGAGAAGGGTGAGTACAGTACAAGATATTTTGAAAGAGACCACATTCACATGATTTTATTACAGTATATTGTTTTAATGTTCTGTTTAATGATATGTTGTTTATTTCTTATTATGACTAATTTATAAATTAATTATGGGTATATATGTATGGGAAAAAACAGTGTGTGTGTATGGTTCGGTACTATCTGTGGTTTACTGGAAGTATCCACTGGGGGTCTTGGAACATATCTCTCTCTGATAAGGGAGAACTATATAGGGATTTCTCTCTCTTTAACAAAGATTTACATGGTGGTAACTTTATGCCAGTTTTATTCTAAGTGTTTTGTAAATATTAACTCATTTAATCACAACTAGAAGAAATAAGGGCCATTATTATCTCCATTTTACAGATGGGAAACCAAAGCATAGAGAGGATTTTTTTTCTTTCCTTAGAGGCAGGATTCACCTTCAGGTAGGCTGACTTCAGAGTCCATGCACTTACCCACTCTGCTCTGTAGGTTTATGTGTCCTGTTGAGACTGTGATAACTCTCTTTAGTACTGAGCCTTCTGCTGGCTGTGCTGCCTAAGTCTGGGAAGGATGTGTGTGGTGAACTAACCAGGCATTCCTAGTTTCACAGGTGATCGGGCCCTCCGTGTTCAAATAGTTCCTCACTAGACCACACTCAGTTTTCCGTTCCCCTCACTGGCTGCCTCTTCTCAGCCCCCTTCTGGCTTCTCTTCTCTTCCCCTCTTTCTGCTTGAAATAAAGTTGGCAGTCATGTTTCTTTCTTTCTCTCAGCTCTTCCCTTACCTAAAAGAAGTATCCTCCCAGGCACCGCCTATTTGATTTTCCTTCATAGCATGTACTGTTACATGAAATTACATATTTATTTATTTCACTTGTTAGTTGAATGGTTTTTCCACAAGCCTGTAGGCTCCATGATGGACTTAAACTACCTTAACTTGGATTCTCTTTAGATGGCTTGTGCTTCTTTTTCCCCCTTGTTCTGTTCAGATGTTCTGTTCCCAATTTAAAAACACTAAACCAGCATATAACTTGTGAACCCCACAAAAATGTTTGGCTGCCTTCTTAGGAAGAACGCTGGTCAGACACCTGCTTTCATAAGAGCAACACATGGCTCCTAAGCATGGAACTAGATCATGAGATTGACACTAAGTTGAGTGGCAGCTAAACAAACAAGGAAGAAGCCTGCAGCTGGTCTACCACACAGACATTTATTTGTACAAAAATCACTTTGGACTAACAAATTACTGCTGCATTGTACTACAAAAGTTTAAAGGGACCAGAAGAGTTAACGTACAAACGCAGAGCTACAGTTCTTACTGACACGCTGAGCCCAATCGCTTAACGTAATCATCATGAAAAGTTGACTCTGAATTATGCCAGCATTTGTAGGAGTACCAGGAGGTAAAATTTCTGTGATTATGGCCCAGAGAAGGACTATTGTTATTTCATTTTAAAGCATCATTGAGTTTTCAGGAAGTAAAGAAAAGAAAAGTAGATGACTTAAGAGCCAGAGTACTCTGGAGAAAAACAGAGAAAAAAAGCCTGGCCAAATGCACCTGTTCAAACCCCACTACAAACACTACTCAGAATCTCCAGGGTGATTCTTGTTGCTCATTCTTAGTTAAGAACCGCTGCTTTAGGGCAGCGATCCTCAACATTTTTGACACCTGGGACCAGTTTTGTGGAAGACAAAAGACAATTTTTCCATGGACCTGGAGGTGGGGGGAGGGTAATAATTGTTTCTCAATGATTCAAGTGCGGGACATTCCAGCTCACCTCTTGCTGTGCGGCTCAGACTGGTACTGGTCCCCTGCTTTAGGGGATTCATTTCTAGAGAATCTGCTGGGATTAAGACATGCTAGAATGAATTCCTTTATGTTTAACCAATATTACAAGCTTTACCAAAACCACTATACTCTGGACTGTTTTGATAGAGATGCTATTACTTAAATGTAGAGGCAGGTCCAAGGCCTTTGTTCTTAGCAATAATTTGGAGTATAATTTTACTAAAAATAATCGTAGATCAGCCAGCATTCAGAATATCTGCTTGTTTTTTGGTTAAGCAAGCTGGAGACAATTAAAACAAGGCACAAAACTTGTTGGCCTGACCAATTGTTAAATAGGCCTAAAATCTGAAACTCACTAGAATATAAAGTGAAATTTTGATCAATAAGAAGCTTGATATATTTGACAGTTTCAGTTGTAAGATTAGACAAAGAGGAATGGGTCAGTGGAAAGGGGGTTATATGAACTAGAAAGCTATTCAAGATCTAAGTGCTAGAATTCTGCTGTCCTAGCTCATATGATCCCTCTCAAATTGTATCTTCCTCTTTCATCTTTGAAAAGCATCTGATTGGACTGGAAAATTAGCCATATAATGTATTATAGTGTAACCATCCTTACTGACTGGTCCCTGGTTGAGAGGTTAATTATGTGATCTATTCTGGACAGAGTGGCAGAGCTGGTTTTCCTCCAGCATACTGTTTATCAGCAGGGCAGTGTAACTAGCAAACACTGTGAGACTTTGTAAACCATCCAGTGTATTCCTACTGTTAAACATGTTTGGTGATGAAACTCCTGGAAAATTCTGTTGGCTGATCTCTCCCAGGAGTCTTTTCAGGTCATCTTCAGCAATATTCACTAACCTCCCAGCCTGACCCTTGGCAGGTCCAGAGGAGGTACCT